CCCGATTATGTTCCCCAGAAAACTATGATAAGTTAATGGAAGCCACATATATGCATCCAAGAGCAGAAAAACTTGTGGAAATACAGACATTTTCTTAATTGAAGGTTAACGTTATTCTCATCTCTGTATTTAAATCACCCAGTGGTTGATCTGTCATAAAATATTTGTAGTTTTCTGGGCAGACCAGGCCTTAGCAGGTAATGGAACCCTATTCCTCGACAAAGCGAGATAGTCAGCAGAAAGTTCAAAAAGCTATGGAAGCCCCTAAATAAACAAACTGAAAGAAGCACACAAATCTTTGTAAAAATGTAGACCTCATACTAGAGAGCTCAAATAAGCAAGCTCTCAAGGTCCCACTTTCACAACTCTTTACATTTGCTCTAGGCTGGAATCGTTCGGTGAATGAGAGTTATTGGAGGAGTGAGGAGAAGATTGGGTCTTTAGTCTGTCTTAAAATACTCTGGATTTTTAATTAAAAAAAAATACTTGACTGTATTGGGCATGGGGTGAGTTCTGATTTCTGTTTGTTTTTGGATGGAGGCGGGCTGTTTGTGTGGAAATATATGGGCTGTACATGGCCCTTTCACTGCTCTTCCTCAGTTTACTGGTCCATTCCTGAAGCAAGGAAAGAAGAAGGGTAGGTGTCTTTCTAAACTTACTGTAAAACAAAGTCTGCATACCAAAAGAGTCAAAAACAAATACCTTTCTATGGCATGGCTTTAACAAAGAAATTAACATCAAACTTAAGAGTTCTCTCCAGTCATAGCTGCCCAGAGGGTTCCTACTACAGGATTAATCAGCCATTACCCCTTTTTAGAAAGACACTCCCGACTCCATTATAACCAGATAGAGTAACAAGCCCTTTGCCTGAGTGACTCAGAAGGACCTGCTTAACTTTTTCCAGCAGGATCAACACTTGATAACAGGGTGGAGTGCTCCAAGCAATCACTGTCATCCTGTTATATGGCAGAAGGTGAATGTGGTCCATTTAGGATCACCCATTTATCTGTCTAGTATGTGTACCAACTCATGCTTTTGATGTCTCTAAGTCCTTGTTGTCACGTGCCTCAGTGGTTCACAGCCATGTTAGATTTTTACTTACCATTCCTATGGTAAACATGAGGGGTCTCTGGGGCAGGAAGTTTGTAAGGATCCCCTTGCAAAGTTCCTTCCCATTATTTCACTGGAGAGCAAGGTTTGTCCCACCCTGCCTGGTGGATCTCAACAGTTTGGCACGTGTCATAGAAGGTCAGGGCTGTTTGTGTGGATACCCAGTGCTGCTTCACTGGCTCGAGTTCCTGGTCTCCCGTCCGTCCCCCCCGCACTCTCCCCCTTCGACCACATCCTGGCAAGGCTGTTCTCAGGATCCTCAGGAGGGGGCTCAATGGACCCAGGCTGTATTATTTTTTCCACCTGAACTCCATGGGGCTGGAAACAGTAATCCCCTTTCCCTCTGACCTTCCCCCTGTTTCTCTTCCAGCCAAACCAGTCTCTACACCCTCCCCAATATCACCTCGTAGAGGGCATTCTGTGGCATCCAAATGGCAGGGAAACAGTGCTGGAGAGGTGGATGACCACCCCCACCTTTTTTCTTCAATGCACAGATCTGGTGGGATGATTCAATCCTTGGTGATGAGCATGCCATTGCCAGCATGTTTTCAAATACAGTCCACACCTTATGTAGAGTCCAAACTCCTTCCTTCATGGGAGTTGATTTTATTAACACAGAAATGAACAAAAATACATTAAGTTCAGCTCAGATCTTATCTCCAGGATGGGCAGACAAGCTGGGTGGAACTACTCTATACAAATCCTGTCTTCTCTCTCTAGAGAATCTCTCCCACCCCTCCTACATTCAGAGTATTCTGACTCTGTAAGAACCCACTTAATGTTCCCCACTAGCAGGGGCGGCTCTAGCTTTATTGCCACCCCAAGCACAGCAGGCAGGCTGCCTTTGGCGGCGTGCCTGCAGGAGGTCCACGGTCCCGTGGATTCAGTGGCATGCCTGCGGGAGGTCCGCCGGTCCCGCGGTTTCGGGGTACCCGCCGCCAAATTGTTGCCGAATCCATGGGACCGGCGGACCTCCCGCAGGCTTGCCGCCGAAGGCTGCCTGACTGCCGCCCTCGCAGGGACCGGCAGGGCGCCCCCCGTGGCTTGCTGCCCCAGGCACGCGCTTGGAGCGCTGGTGCCTGGAGCCGCCGCTGCCCACTAGTATCACTATTTGCTTGCAGGATAGAGTATTTCAGGGAAATACTGAAGTCTGTCAAATTAGATAGATATATATTGTACAGGTTCCAAAATAGGTTGGAACTCTCTCTTTAAAATGTAATTATTCTGTCTCTCATTCATGAATGACTCCATCCGCTGATATTTTTTGGTGGGGATGGGGGGTTATTTTGTATTATTAAGGTTAATTAAAGGTATAACACAGTATATATATTACCTGTTCTGTCAGCAGATATATATTGTTTAATTAATATCAGATCTTTTCCAAATTGGATCTATTTCTAGTTCAGCAATGACTATTTTTTTAATTTCAAAATCAGTTTGTTTTATCTTTAATCCAAGTATAGTTTTACTTTTGCCAGTGGGCACATGGGTGTTTATGCAAAAAATGTAGAACAATATTTTTCAGAGAACTGTGGTTTACAGAAGCTCTTATTTAAAACTAGTGTTTTAAAATCTATTTTTCTTTAAATATGTTCTCATATAACAATTCAGGTCAGGTATTCATTATGCAAAAGGAGTTAATTTTCATCCCATCCTACAGTATTAGGATTTTGGACTAATTGGTATCTTTAGATACCTATATGTTTGCCGCTGAACACATTTTGTTTGAATCATCCTTAGGAAAATATAAATAGCCAGATCATTAGGGATGTGTGAACTGCAGATGATTTAATGAAAATGGAATTGAATTGTTTTCAGACAAATATATCAAAATATTGACATGAGATTCCAGATTCTTTTATATATCATCCATGAATGACTAAAAAAGTTATAACCCTTCAGATTAAAAATTCAATTGTATATTTGATGGGTAGCTATATCTGATTTATAATTTTATGTTAAACTTCTGAACCTTTATAAAATTTCTAGGGCCCACATTTTTAATATTATCCATACAAAATGTGGATGCAACTACACATCTAATTTCTATGTGAAACTACTTCCATTGCATATGCAAATAAGGGAATTGCATGCACAATGTACTATAATTGTCTATTTTATTGCAATTATCTGAAGTGCATACATAATTGCAGTAAGTGTGTGTGAAAATTAGGCTTCAATTGCCTGTTTATTTTAGTGCAGTTTTGTTCACAACGTTTTGAAAATGTAGGCCTGTATGAATAACTCGTACTTGTGGTTTGGGGTATGATATTGGGGACAAACTGTTTACAAAGGTTTTTTTAACCGAGACTTGTATCACCAAAGATGCACAGGGAGTCATTAGAGAATACAAAGGATCTCAAAAATCTCAACCATTGTAGTTTGTCCACAAGACAGGAAGAGTGCAGTCAAAGAGGATATTGCTTATTCTCTATATTGGTTAGGAGGTGGACCCAAGAAGGTGTTTGATCCAAACTGGTTGTGGAAGACGAGTCCCCCAGTTATCAGCTCACTTTAGCATGCATGCTCCACCTAGCTTGCACACCAGATACCTGCTTGGGGTAAAAATAAACAAAAGGTTTATTTAATAGACAAACCACATATTCAAAGATGAAATAGTAAGGGAGAGCTAACATATACAAGTTGCACAGTAAATAAGCATAAAGACGCAGCCTCAGGCTTTGCACTTCTATATTAGATAAAATCCCTTTTCTAATACAAGTTGCCTATTGCCTTTGCACATTTTGCCAATCTACCCCCTAACTGTAGGGTGGAATCTAGTGTTTCACAGACAGTTTCTGGATAAAAGCTTCAGTTTCTATTCTCCTTTTTGAAAGGTTTCTCCCCCCCCCCCCCCCCCTTCCCCCCCCCCCCCCCCGCCCTTTCTCCCCTCCCCCCGTCTCCTGGCATGATGACTCATGGTTATTCAGATTGGGGAGAATTCCCAGTTGTCTCAATAACTTTCCATTAACTCTAATGGCCCATCATTTGTCTTTTCTTGGATGGTACAATGATAGGGGCTTGGAGCTAGTCTTGTCTGGTTGAAAAGGCCACCCCTCCCTGCCTAACTGCCCACCACCCCGCTGTGAGATGCGGTGAAGCTGCACTACAAATTATGAGAATGGTTTTCTGTAAACACCAATACATAAATCATAACCACAGTCTGTATACATATCTCATAATAACCATTACGTTTAGAACATTAAATGCTTTCATAAAAGATCTTACTCCACATATTTTTATAGCACAATAACATTATATACAATCAGTTGATTCAGCAGCTTATTCTTTTGGGTTCAAACCCCCTGTTCTCCCCTGGGGGTGTCTGGACTCTGATTATCACACAAAGATCTTGCCACAAAGGTTTATAGTTGTCTTTAGCAGCAATATTTATAGTGAGATGCTAAATGATTAAAATGTTATTTAAACAATTTTCATTTTCCAAGTTTTCTCTGTATTTCTCTACTATCTTAATAAACTTCGGTTTTATTTCAAATGACCCATTGTGGCAGGGCAGACTATTAAATTAGTGTGCTGTTAGAGCATTTCTCAGCAAAAGATCTTGAACTGTAATTTCAGAGGAAGCTGGGTCAAGAGAGAGATAACAGGTCTCAGCAGATGGTCAGGGGCAACAGGCACTGAAATTCCTTCCACTAGCAGTGTGGTAAGGAAGATAGCTGGGGCCAGAGTGGGCAGAGCTGAATTGCTGGAGGGTCACCAGACTTGGTTAGAGACATTCTTACTAAATTAGTAACACTTTGGTAGATTTGTTTCCCAGTGTTTAAATTGAAATCATATTTCAAACCTTTTATTTACAATGGGTTAGTAAAGGCAGAGTTAGCATTCTGTGTTGTTGAACATGAACTTCTTAAGATTTTCTTTTTTAACAGAACAATGAAAATGAAACGGCTTTGCACTGTGCAGCTCAATATGGACATTCAGAAGTAGTTGCTGTTTTACTGGAAGAACTAACAGACCCTACAATAAGAAACAATAAATTAGAAACTCCTTTGGATCTGGCAGCACTATATGGGCGTCTGCAGGTAGTGAAGATGATCATCAATGCATATCCAAACCTGATGAGCTGCAATACTAGGAAACACACACCTTTGCATCTTGCTGCACGTAATGGCCACAAAGCTGTTGTACAGGTGCTACTAGAGGCTGGAATGGATGTCAGCTGCCAAGTTAGTGTCCTATTTTCTGCCAGTCTTTATATATAAATGAAGCTCCCAGTCATTTCTGTTTTAAAATACATTTATGTGGCATTTTTAAAAGAAATCATGAAATTCTGCAAGGTCATGTATAAAATAGACTAATATTTACAATCTACGGCATGTACTTAACTGGATACTATAGCCCTGATTCAAGAAAGTGTCCCTTGCTTAAATCCCATTATTTTAAAGTTAATCATGTGCTTAAATACTTCACGGAACCAGGGGCTATGAAATTAATTGTATAGTATGGGCCAGATCCTCATCTGATATAAATTGGCATAGCCCCATCCTCAGCTGGTGTAAATTACTTTACCTCCCTTGGCCTCAATGGCACTATGCTGATTTACATCTGTTGAGGCTTTGTGCTAAACAGAGAATGGAAGCTTGACAATAAGTTTGCCTGAGATTTTGCTTTAGATATACAGATAATCAGTTTATTCAACATACATAGATATGAAGAATATATAAGAATGCTAAAACACAACTTAAGCAGAGAGCTGTTGGCAAGTTCAACTGCATCCACTGGTTTGCCTGCTTCACTAGACCTCTTTGGTTGTCACACGTTTCTAACTCCACCAGTTAAGTGAAGGTTGCCTTGAAAGCTGTTTTGTTTTGTAGGAATGGTTAGAGCCACATAGCTTCAGTTTCCAATGGTCTATCCAGCTCTAAAGACAAAGATATGGATGCTCAGGAGTTGAATTTTCTGATTTCTTATTACATAAGCCTAGTACAAAGCAATATTCACTGCACCAAAATTGTACTGCAACAGATTCCTGAAACTTCTGACTCAACATAATTATTTTCAGTAGCATACAATTCCATATTTAATAGGGTGCCAGTTTTAAATAAAAAACTACAGGGAGGCATAATATATACAATACTGTAGCAATAAAGCATGTACATCCACTCTTCAATGCGGGGAAATGATCTGGCTTCTAAGTTAAAGAGTAGGAGTAGAAATGTACTGTTTGACCCTGTCTTACCTAATATATGTGATTTCTCTTGTTTTGTATGGCTGGACTACGTTTGGGGTAAAAATAATGTTTTTATTTCAAATATAAAATTGCTTGCTGGCTGCCAGGATTATCCTTTTTAGTTACACTATTTGAAAGTAAGAAAGCTAGAGCAAGGAGTAACACATCCCTCCAAAAAGTATTTCTGATTATATATCTCCTTTTGCATCTCCAGAAAATGAATGGGGAAGAAACAGACTGAAACTGCATTAATGCTGGCTTGCATAAGAAATAGTATTTTGCTCTGAAAATCATCCCTGTTGTAGAGCCATATATATCAACAGAGTTACGTCAAGGATGAATTTTTATCCAATATCTCTACAAGATATGGGATATTCCCTTGTTATATAACTGGAATAATTTCACCACTGTTTTGAATTCTCCTAAGTCAATTTTATACAGTTTCACCATCAATATAATACGTATTCACTTTCATATAAATATCTAATTATAATGTATAAAATACTTTACTGAAAACATTCTTCAGTTTATGCCTACTTCACCCCTTGACTCTTACTGTTGCTGATTCTCAAACAAGTTAACGAAATTTCTTAAATTTTAAATCAGTGCTGTTTTTGAGCATTTTGCAGATGTTGGAGTGTTCTACATGATGTCATACTAGAAACACTGATGACACACAGTGTTTAAAAGACTTTAGTTTCTTAGTTTTGACACTGATCCTCTTTTAAATATAGGTTTTACTTTAGTTTCTTGCTAGCCTTTGAATAATAACTCACCTGTTTTTAGTGAGGAAGGAAAAATACTCACTACTTTTTAATGTCATTTTGTTTGCCATCTATGTTAGAATCCTACAATTGCCTTTATCTTCAGGTGCTCTAATTTTTCTTAACCAGTTTTGAAGCTACCCTTAGTTTGTTTCACTTTCCACGTTATGTGCTGGGTCAATTTCTGTTTCTGCCATGTTTGCTCTTCTCTCCATGGTGAAGCATTTATTTATTTCCCCAGCACTATCCATCTTCTCTGTCAATAAATTCCCTTCATTCTGCATCCTGGTACATTGCCGAGTTGGATCTGTCTATATTCTTAACTTATTACTTCTGTAACCTCTGAATACTTTTTTGTTGATAATTACTATCAGATCATTAAACTGAACAGAGCATACAATACCAGTCTGTTACTTAAAACTGAACTCAGCTGTTTTAGTATTCATTAAATTGCTCTGCATCACTAATTGGGAGAGAACAATATAAAAAATGTAACCCCGTGTGGTAAATTAAATTGTACATGTTCATACTCTTTAAACAAATTCAGCTTTATCAGCAGTAAAGAACTCTCAGAATGTAGAGACGCAATTATAGAAGTATCTGCAATCTTCTTTGTGTTTGTAAACATTTATTTGTGTAAATGGAAGGTTTACTTTAGTCATTTTATTAATCTCTTCTGTACTCCCTGACCACTTTTAATCTTAGCAAATATTTGGGCTAATAATAGACAACATTTAATTTTGGATTGAATTAATCACACATTTTATTCATTTCCCAGGTCTTACCAATGTCCTTCAGTCTGAAATTATTTAGAAGTGGGCAATACAAATCTGCTTCAACTGTTTATGCTTTGAAGTTTTCATTTTAATTGAAACATATGAAAAATACACAGGTTTTGGTGAGTGATAGACTTTGGGCCCTTAGTCTTAAATGACATTGCACAGTACAATGTGTTCCATGCAAGGATTATTTGCATAGTTGTGAAGGCCCTTCACAATTTAACTACCTCTGTTTATCCAATCTGTTTTCACCTTCCCACTCTGTTTCATTAATGATGGCAACGTCCATTGCCTGTCAGTCCATTTCTCCCACAAACACCTATGACCCAGCCTTTTTTCTGCCACTTGTATGTGGAACACACTCCCTGAATCAACTTGCAAAGCTACCGCCCTGTACTTTAAATCATCTCCTCCAAACCACATCCATCATGAACTGCCTAATGATAAGGACTGGGCACGTTGCCTATTAGAGATTCATTAAAAAATCTCTTCTTTACTTATATATTAAAACTAGGGCTGTCAAGCGATTAAAAAAATTAATTGCGATTAATCGCGCTGTTAAACAATAGAATACCATTTATTTTAAATATTTTTGGATTTTACTACATTTTCAAATATATTAATGTCAATTACAATACAGAATACAAAGTGTACAGTGCTCACTTTATATTTATTTTTGATTACAAATATTTGCACTGTAAAAAACAAAAAAAAATTATTTTTCAATTCACCTCATACAAATACTGTAGTGCAATCTCTTTATCATGAAAGTTGAACTTACAAATGTAGAATTATGTACAAAAAAACCTACATTCAAAAATAAAACAATGTAAAACTTTTGAGCCTACAAGTCCACTCAGTCCTACTTCTTGGTCAGCCAATCACTCAGACAAACAAGGTTTGTAACAATTTGCAGGAGATAATGCTGCCTACTTCTTGTTTAGAATGTCACCTGAAAGTGAGAACAGGCGTTTGCATGGGACTGTTGTAGCTGGCGTTGCAAGATATTTACATGCCTGATACACTAAAGATTTATATGTCCCTCCATGCTTCAACGACCATTCCAGAGGACTTGCTTCCATGCTGCTTGATAACAATCCAAAGCAATGCGTACTGACACATGTTCATTTTCATCATCTGAGTCAGATGCCACCAGCAGAAGGGTGATTTTCTTTTTTTGGTGGTTTGGGTTCTGTAATTTGAGCATCAGAGTGTTGCTCTTTTAAGACTTCTAAAAGCATGATCCACACCTCGTCCCTCTCAGATTTTGGATGGCACTTCAGATTCTTAAACCTTGGGTCGAGTGCTGTAGCTATTTTTAGAAATATCACATTGGTACCTTCTTTGCGTTTTGTCAAATCTGCTGTGAAAGTGTTCTTAAAATGAACATGTGCTGGGTCATCATCTGAGACTGCGATAACATGAAATATATGCAGAATGCGGGTAAAACAGAGCAGGAGACATACAATTCTCCCCCCAAGGAGTACAGTCACAAATTTAACGAGCATCATCAGCATGGAAGCATGTCCTCTGGAATGGTTGATGAAGCATGGAAGTGGCATACGAATGTTTAGCATATCTGGCATATAAATACCTTGCAACGCCGGCTACAAATGTGCCATGCGAATGCCTGTTCTCACTTTCAGGTGACAATGTAAATAAGAAGCAGATAGCAGTATCTCCTGTCAATGTAAACAAACTTCTTTGTCTTAGCGATTGGCAGAATAAGAAGTAGGACTGAGTGGACTTGTAGGCTCTAAAGTTTTACACTGTTTTGTTTTTGAGTGCAGTTATGTAACCAAAAAAAAAAAAATCTGCATTTATAAGTTACACTTTCACGATAAAAAGATTGCCTTATGGTACTTGTATGAGGTGAAAATTGAAAAATACTATTTCTTTTGTTTATCATTTTTACAGTGCATATCTTTGTAATAAAAAATAATAATATAAAGTGAGCATTGTGTATTCTTTATATTCTGTGTTGTAATTGAAATCAATATTGAAAATGTAGAAAAACATCCAAAAATATTTAATACATTTCAATTGGTATTCTATTGTTATAAATGTGATTAATCACAATTAATTTTTTTAATCTTGATTAATTTTTTTGAGTTAATCACATGAGTTAACTGTGATTAATTGACAGCCCTAATTAAAACACTTAACTAATAAAAAATCTTGCAGCTCACAAGTGAGCCTGCAAATTGTACACCTAGGTGATCTTTGTATTGTGGTGTTCCTGTAAAAGTTATAAAAGTTTTCTTTTCCGTCCCTCCCGCGTTGTTTTCCATGACCACCTGTTATGTATTCTCTCTGTTTAGCTATAAACTACTTGGAGCAGGGACTGTCTTCTACTATATACCTAGTACAATGGGGTCTCAATCCCGATTAGGGCCTCTGTATTTACTGCATGGAAAACTGAAATCAGTGGATTCACTCCAGATTTGAATGATGTAAATGAGAGCAGAATTTGGTCCATTGTGCTTATGAAATATGATTGGCATTCTTTGCACTAGATATTACTTTAGGAGGATTTCTAGCCACACTAATAGCGCTCACTTTTGGGGTAACATATGCTCCAAAAGGATATAAAAGCCTTCAGGGAATAAGACAGAGAAAGTTAACTGTAAGTCTTGACTTTACTTGCTATAACATCGAGAATAAAAGTGTGCTACTATATTTGCATTATCAGCTGTAAAAGAAAAAGGTCTTCACATTTGACACTTTAAAAAATTCTGTTTTATTTCAAAATAATGCCGTAGCAAGAGATATTTCCAGTTTTTGCCATTTATGTGGAACTAAGTTTCTTGCTATTGCAAATCTGTGTAACCCTCAGTGTTAAGTTTCATGCTGTGTTGCACCTGAAAGGAATATGGTTTGTGTCACAAGACTGGTACATTCTTATAGTCAGGAATAACAAAAGTCAGTAGTTTAATGCACAGAATAAAAGTATTTTTTCATTGAAAGTCTTTCTACCATAGCATAAGAGAAACTCACAACACTGATACCCCCTTCTACTCAAATACACCCCTCAAGAAAAGTAAAAAAGAAACAACAACAACATATTTAAAACACACACACAAACAAATCTTTCCCTAAGTAGAGTTTTTACCTTGAAAATGGAGAAGAACCAGAGATTCCCTGGGGTCCACTAGGGATTTCACTATTGCTATTGATTTTGTATGGAAGGCACCCAGATACTTTTGTGATGGGCAGTAGTATGAAGATAGATTAATTTACTTACCCTAAGTTTTGTTGTCAGACCTGCAATTTTTACTCAGGCAAAACTCCCAGTGATTTCACTAGGAATTTTGCCTAATAACTGCAGAATCAGGGCCATGTTTATTTACTGCATCTTGTTTTTATATGGTTATTAAGTGATCTTTATCATAGAACTTTCTCTACTCTTGTATGTTGCAGCCCTGTATGAATGATTTTTAATAAATATTATTGATAATTATTCTTGCCCAGACAACAATCTTTTAATATAGTTAAGAGAGCAAAAAGTAAATGTTCTTTGTCTAAATATATTACTTTTTGAAAGGATTCCTTGGTACGTTAGTGTTTTTAATGCATCAATATTGTTCTATTCCAGACAGAAAAGGGGAGTGCACTTCATGAAGCAGCCTTATTTGGAAAGGTGGATGTAGTACGCATTTTGCTAGAAACAGGTATACCACATTTCTCATGTGATTTCTAGACTATCAAGTGTCCTTCATATTTTTGATTTCAAAAAGTGCTTTCTTTTTGATCTGCTGTGCTAGCCTAGATGCTTGGGTATAGTTCCTCCTTGCCAGCAGGTAGAGATTGTATGTATATTGAGACTTTTTGGTGATGTCAACTTTGCATATTAGGGGCTCATCAGCTTCCAGAGAACATGGAGTAGATCACCGAGACATGGAAAGTTTCTAGCTGCACACTGGTGTTCAGGTGCTGCTGCAGCACTGTGTGATGCGCTAACTGCCTACTCATGCAGTGAGCCAGCTCTCCTGCTCCAGGGCCAGGAAGTGACCATTCTATCTGGCTTCGACATACAAGACAGACCCTAAGTCAGGTTCTTCACCCATCCAAGTGGGTGGCAAACCAGGAAGTAAAACAGGTACAAGGTTAGGCTGAGACCATCTTTCCTACAAGAATCCCTCAATTGTGAAGGAGTCCCAAGAAGGGCAGATACCTGAGACCCCCTCAATTGTAAGGAGATTTAGGCAGATCAAAGCAGATTTCTCTCCTCAGAGGATTCATGCTTCCTTCAGATGGATTGTTAAAGAGTTTCCCCCTGCTTTTTCAGGTACCTCTCACCCTGGCACCCTACCTGCCCCAGGGATTCCAACTCATCCTACAAGCCCCTCAGTGTCTGAACCAAGAAATCCCCTTGTGCAACCTAGCAACACTACCTATGCCCCTAAAGCTCAGAACTGTTTGCTTATGAAATATGATTGTCATCCTTTGCACTAGATGTCACTTGAGGAGGATTTCTAGCCACACTAATAGCGCTCACTTTTGGGGTAACATATACTCCAAAAGGATATAAAAGTCTGCAGGGAATAAGACAAAGTTGACTGTAAGTCTTGACTTCACTTGCTATAACATGGAGAATAAAAGCCTTCCTCAACCTTTGTATTTACATATACACAGAGTGAAGCATGTATGACAGTCTAAATTAACTTTATTTTAGATTAAGCAAATACTACAGACAAGAAGGAACAAAAGTAACATCTCCACTCAAAGACTCAATGTTTGTGTGACTCAGTTTATATCAAACTAGAGGCAAGTTTGAGAACAAAATGTCTGTTGTGCTGTACACACAGGAAGAGAGCCAAAAATGTATGGATTCAGCACACAAAAAATAAAGGACATCAGCAACAAGTCCCCCATCCCTTTCCATCCACAGGAGCTCTGATGATCTGAAATCTGGGGTGGTTTGTGTGGAATAGGCTCACTGTTTGAATATAGCCCAGATATAGGTAGCTCTATTTTGCTATGCCACCTAAACACAAGTTTAGCTTTAGCAAAGAGAATGTGTTTGACTTTGTTCTAGTGCTCATGTGCTTGGTACTCAAAGTGTTTTGTAATTTCTGTAAGGGTAGAATGCTAGTATATTTGTTGTTGATGTGTTGGGGCATCATTCAAAGAGACCAGAGATAAGGTATACACAATGTAACCTTATATACCTTAACTCTTTGTATCCTGATTTTCAGAGGTTTAAATTTAGTAACTCTCCACATTCTGGAAGAGTACAAGGCACCATTGGGAAACCTTAACTTTGCATTAACAAAGTTTTTGGGTATTTAATTTGTATGTGTGTGTGTGTGTGTGTGTACTACAACCTAACTCTCCTTCTCCACTACCTCTCACTACTTGGCAACAGTTACTCTGACCACAGCATGCAGTGGTTTCATATTAATTCCATCATTCCTCCTGCATCATCTCCTCATTGCTTGTCTCTCTGCCTATCCAGCATAGGCAGATTCTCCCTTCTCAGCTCTCCTCCACAGGGAGAGACAGGTGTTAGTAGCCATTTTGCAAAGCTTGATGTACTACATTTATAAAGTGAGACATTTTGGGTTACATTTTTCTCTTTCCACAGTACATTATCGTTTTTTTATTTCAGGAATTGATGCCAACATAAAGGACAGTTTAGGTAGAACTGTTTTAGATATCCTTAAAGAACATCCATCTCAGCAGTCACTACAAATTGCTACACTACTTCAAGGTAAGTCATGTTAAATCATATACTAATCATATGAGAGATAAATTAGAATAAAGTTACAGGTAAATCAAAATGTATACTATTCTATTCTTGTGTTACTTCATGACTTTCTTGTGATTAAAAAGACTGCAGTTCATGGTTATTGTTTGGAAAGCACACACATTTCAATGGTCACATTTTGTTGTACCATGTTTAAAATTTCACCTTTTTCTCCCTCTGATAACAAAATGTAAGAAGTCACACTTATTTGATATATCATTTGCACTTAATATTACATTAATATTTGTAAAATTAACTTTTGGTAATATCTCACTTCAGTTTTATTGTTTGTAGTGTTGTAGCCGTGTTGGTCCCAGGATGCAAGACAGACAAGGTGGGGTAATATCTTTTATTGGACCAACTTCTGTTGGTGAAAGAGACAAGCTTTAGAGCTCCACTGACTTGAAGAAGAGCTCTGTGGAGCTTGAAAGCATGTCTTTTTTACCACAGAAGTTGGTCCAATAAAGATATTAACTCACCCACCTTGTCTCTACCAATTTCATTAAAATTTATTACTTTAAAGTACTGCAGAACTGGTTGGTCAGTACATTAGTAGTAAAACTGATTGAAAGATGAGGAAGCCAGGCCCGTGCCAGTGTATGCAATGCCAGCACTGAGTCGGGGCAATCAGCCGTCTTCACCAACTCAAGCTTTATCTCTGAGAGTTTGTGCTTCACAGGATTCCTGGCTGGCTTTGTGCTGGACACTGAGAAATCTCAATGGGGTGCATACAGAGGGTCTGAAGGTACTCCTCACATTTCCTCAATACACAGGATGACATCTGCAGGCAAATTTGGCATCCTTGAACATCACTGTTGACCCTAAGGCAGGCAAAGCAATGAACATAGCTGCCATTATGGGCATAGTTGTTACACACAGAAAATTTGAAGCCTCTGAGCAGCCTTTGCTCCTTTAAAGACATACTTGCCAGAACAGATTGGATGGCAGAGCAGCAAAAAAACATTAAAACGGATTTCATTCTTTTTGGTGTTTAGAATTCAGAGCAGGCATTGATGCACCAAAAGACATGAGAGACACTGGAATGCCTTTATTCAGGGGCTGATGTACCAAGTAAAACAAGGTTTCATAGTTCAGGAGCACTTTGAAGAGAACTGGCTCATGCATGGAGCTGAGGTTACAAGAATATGGTTCTAAGGAGATGAGACAGGCACCAGGTTTGACACCAAAATGCCAGAGAAAAAACACAGGAGTGAATGTGCCAAGGTATGCACTTGGATGCTAAAGCATAATCTGAAGTGCTTGAGGCAATCACTTAATAAAAAAATATATGCAACCATACTGAATTGAGCATGTATGGGTAAATACGAAAAGAATATACTGATCTTCAGTAACATAGTTGGAGCAATGCAAAAATGAATTCTCCAACAGGGAACTGCTTTGCCAATTACAATCAAGAAATGAATGGAACATTCAAAGGTCAATATTTATACTTGGCAAATGATAGTCTATAACATTCAGTTGCAGGGTCAGGCTCATGTTCCACCCTTCTACAGCCATCCTCTCTAGGGTCAAAAACTTAAATAATTGAAGGAGTTCCATCAGTCTCATTCTAAGGAACTAAGATCCAAGAACAAGAATCCTGCCCAGATGGTATCTTAAAAAAATTATAATATCACTGTCATCAGCACAATTACAAAATTTGCTGCTAATTAGAGATGGTCGAAATTTGAAATTTCAGCAAAAAATTGAAAGAAAAATGTAGATCATTCAAGAAGAGGATTTAGATGGCATGGGACCTTCACGTTAAACAGCACCTGCTTGAACTGGCCTTGAGGCCTGAGCCAGTACCGAAGCCTTCTTCGGGCTACAAATCGCCCTCCGGTTCAGAAAGTGCTGCTGCCTCCTGTTCTGAGGCAGGGGCCTCTCTGAAAAGGCACAGGAGTCATTCTTCATTGTCGCAACAAAGAAGAAGTTGAGTAAGACCAATCGGGAGCACTATCGGTCCCATGGAAACCCTTCTGCCTGCCATAAGAAGAGCATGGACTGGCACGGGGCAGCTCTGACATGTGGGATGGCACAAGTGCCTCTGAACCTCCCTCAGTACAGAGCAGGGAGGGCAGATACCCCATACCGTCAATTCCAATTCTGGCCTCTGGGCGTCCGTTGAGTCCAGTACCAACGGGAATGATGCCGGTGCTGACAGTGTCCGTGACATCAGTGTATCAGGTTGCAGAGGACCTATTCTGCCTTGGTCCCATCCTCACCATTCTGGGCTTCAGCCGCCAGAGTGGAGAGGTCGGGGCTTGAGCCCTGTGGGGTGGAGGGCTTGTGGCTTCTGCCCCAAGTGGCAGGAGGTGGGGCTCAGGGCTCCAGGATTCAGCCACTGGATTGGGGAGCGGGGCTCGAGGCTTCAGCCATGAGGGACTGGGGACTCAGGACTTTTGCCCCGTGGGGCATTTGGGGCTTGGGGCTTCTGTCCCGCAGGGTGCCAGGGCTTGGGACTCCGGGCTGCCAGCATTAGCCCTGCAGGGTGCAGGGACTCAAGGCTTGTGCCCCATGGGGTTGGGGGGCCTGAGGTTTCTGACCCATGAGGTGGGAGGGCTCCTGCTTTAGCCCAATGAGGTGGTGGGGGGACTTGGGGCTTAGGGTTCCCAGCTTTAGCACTGCGGGCTAGGGTGGCTTCTGCCCTGCGGAGTACCGGGGCTCAGGGCCTTCCACTGCACTGGCAGTCGACTTTGCTGTTCTTGTTCCCTCCTATCCTGATCCTTCCCCAGTTCATTGCCCAGGCATGGCCAAGGCAGCACTAGTTCTTGGACCTTCTTGCTCTGTTGGCTCAGTTTCACAAGCCAATTCCTCTCCTTCCCGACCTCCTCACACAGGACCGTGGCCACACCCAGCATCCGGCAAGCAGCTCCCTGCACCTTACGGTGTGGCTGTGAATGACTGCATGAGGAGGAATGGCATAGCTGCTATCCAACAGGTCGAACTTAACAGTAGGAAGCCTTCCACTAGAATCGCCTACTTGGCAAAGTGGATAAGGTTTTCTATGTGATCCTTGGCCCGTGGGATCCATATGATGGGGGCTTCCATCCTGGATATCTTGGAGTACCTGCTACACCTGCAGGAATCAGGGTTGGCATGCAGTTCTCTGAGAGTTAACTTGGCAGCGATATTTACGTTTCATCCTCCGATGCAAGGGAAGTCGCTTCTCTCTAGCATCAGGGTGATGAGATTTCTGAAAGAAGTTCTCTGTCTACATCCTCCAATCCAAGAGCTGGTCCCCTTTTGGGATCTGAACACTGTGTTAACAGGTCTAATGGGGCCTCCACTGGAGCCCATTGCATCCTGTCCGCTGCCCCTCCTCTCTCAGAAAATTGCATTCTTGATAGCCTTTACCTCTGCCAGGAGCGTGTGTGAGTTACAGGCCCTGATGGTGGGGCCTCCTTAATATGCAGCTCTCCAGGGACAAGGTTACACACCAGCCATACCCAAAGTTTGTATCCAAGCAGGTTTCCCAGTTTCATTTAAACCAGACAGTGTATTTGCCTGTATTTTTCCCCAAGCCACATTCTTCCCCACAGGAGCAACATTTCCATGTGCTAGAGTATAGACACTGTCTAGCCATCTATCTGAACAGGACTGAACAGATTCATGCTTCGCCTCGCCTATTCTTATCATTTGCAGACTGCATGAAGAGACAAATGATCTCTGCACAGATGGAAAACGTCTTGCATCAAGACTGCATATGAGATAGCATCGGCTGTGTCTTGCAGCAGATATGCATGAATTCAGAGAGACTGCAGACAGCATCAGTGGCATTCCTCAATAACATTTCCATATTGGACATTTGTAGGGAAGCCACATGGTCATCTGTACATTTACGGACCATTATCCAATCATTCCTTGTCCCAGAGTGGACGCTAATGTTGGAAGAGTAATCCTGCAATCCTTACTCAAATAGACTCCGAGCCTGGCCTCCAGTGTGGATACTGCTCACTAGCCACCTACTTGGAATACACATCTGCGTTTACTCGAAGAAGAAGAAGAAGAAATGGTTACTTACTGTAACTGTGGTTCCTCAAGATATGATGCAGACATGTGTTCCACAACTCCCCCTCTGTCCCCTCTGCATTGGAATCTTCGCCTGGACATTCAGTGCCAAATAACTGAGGGGAGTCAGGGCGGCACCACCTCATATAGCCTGGGGAGGTTCTACTGGCATGAGGTGTGAGTGCCTCCCCTCTACGGGTACTGCTAGGCAAAAGTCTCCACCTCCAGCGTGCGAGGCATGCACACACCTGCTTGGCATACACTCTACATCACATATTGAAGAACCACAGTTATAGTAAGTAATCGTTTCTGTTCAGGAGTGAAAGTCTTACAAGATGTTCTTCCAACAAGTGAAAATCACTTATCTATAATACTGCTTCTCAAGGAACGTAATCTTGAAGGATTCTCACATACTCATCCACCACCCTTCAGGGTCTGGAGTTTATCTTATTTTTCAGCTGTCTTGATACTTGCAGAGATTTTGATTTTTTTTCTGTGAGGCATATTTTTAAACACAAGTTGATCATTTTACATTGGCTTATCATTCTGGGACCATCGCCTGTTATGCAGTTGAAGGAACATGCAGAATAACACTTGAGAAAAGAGCAGCGAAAGTTCTCTTTTTAAGGATTCTATTATTATTATTAATATAACCTAGAAGCCCAGTTATGGACCAGGACCCCATTGTGCTAGGCACTGTACAAACACAAAACAAAAAGATAGTCCGTACGGTATCAAAAAGAGCAGTGTCAAATCTAAAGACAAGAGACAACAGTTGCATATAGACAGATGGGGGAGTACCAGGAAACAACGACATAACATGGGTCAGCATGATAGGCAGTGGTCTCAGCACATCAACAATGTAGCCATTGTTAAGTGTTTTGTAGGCATCACAGAAAAAGAGTTTTAAGGAGGACTTTGAATGAAGATAATGCATTACTTTTACAGACATC